CCGAAATCAAGGGTCGAGCACTTACGTGACTGAGCCACCCAGGTGCCCCTCAGCAAACACTTATTGAAGTCACACTACACATTTGGTGCAAAGCTCCATGCTAATGAAGGATAGAAATATGTGCAAATCATGAACCTTGCCATCAAAGAGATTACAGTCTGAGAGGAGAGCTAAGAGAAGCACACCAATAATTGTAATTCATGGAAGGAAATCTGAAAAAGAGGCACAAGTAAAGACTATGGAGTTGGGAGAGGACGACATCCATTTTGCTGGGCATCAGGGAAGGTTCAAGTAGTCTTCTGTGGCAGCACTTCTACCTGCCTCTGCCTTCCTGTTCCCTTGTCCCTCTCTATCATGCTACCTTGCTTTATTCTCTGGAATTATCTTGTTTATTTATGGTTGTACTTGTCTGCTGTTTGTCTCTACCCTCCCTTAGTAGAATGCAAGCTCCAAGATAGAGAGTATCTACTTGTCATTTATAAATTCTTCACCCAGTATTTGGTACTAACATAAATCTTGTAATAAAAATTTTGGAATGAATGAATGAAGTGGCATTGAAGCTGGATTCCATTGGATGGGTAGGATTTGGACATTCAGTAAAAGGGGAGGGAGGGACATTATTTTAGATGGAGGGTATTTGAAGTCCTTTAGGGAGTAGAGAATGGAAGATGGATCTGGGAGTAGAGAATTGGTTTAAGGAAGACTATGGAAATACTGTAGAGAATTAGATATGGAAAATAAGAGAAATAAGGTAAATGATGATTCCAAAGTTTGTGTCTTTGTTTTTTTTTTATTTTTATTTTTTAAAAAAATTTTATTTCTGAGAGAGACGGAGAGAGAGAGAGAGAGAGAGAGAGGATCTGAAACAGGCTCCAGGCTCTGAACTAGCTCTCAGGACAGAGCCTGACACGGGGCTGGAACCCATGAACCGCGAGATCATGACCTGAGCTGAGGTCGGACGCTTAACTGATTGAGCCACCAGGTGCCCCTAAAGTTTGTGTCTTTGAAGCCTAATAGAATGGGGATAGAGAGAAGGACAGAATGAGGGAAACTGAGAAGACAAGCCAATTTAATAGGGACTGGTTGGCAGTCTCAGGGGTCAAATCTTGTGAGCAGTTGCATAAACTGGATTGAAGTGCACAGTCAAATCTGAACAAGGTGAGTTGAAACACCACGGTGGAAGAGACACCAGTAACTGGGCCAAGCAGAGGTTCTCAGAGGGAGAAAGTCCAGAAAAAAAGCACCCTTGGAAATAACCTACAGTCTTGGGAATTGGCTGGGAAGAACCCACAGGAGGTGGGAAAGGACTGGGGAAGTGAGAGGCGGTTATCAGTAGGAACTGCCGCAAGAGATCTGAAAACACGGAGGTTAGAGGTCTCTAGGCTTGTCGGATGGGGGCGCAATGCCCTCTTCAGAGGAAGAATTTTTATTGGATGGTGGAAAAATGTTGCTTTGTATTAGGGTTAGAACAGAGGGCAGAGGTGCCTGGGTGGCTCAGTTGGTTAAGTGTCTGACTTCAGCTCAGGTCATGATCTCACGGTTCGTGGGTCGAGCCCCACATTGGGCTCTGTGCTGACGGCTAGCTCAGAGCCTGGAGCCTGCTTCTGATTCTGTGTCTCCCTCTCTCTCTGTCCCTCCTGTGGTTGTACTCTCTCTCTCTAAAAATAAATAAACATAAAAAAAAAAAAAGAACAGAGGGCAGAGAGAGGGAGAGAAAAATTGGATGGTTGCTAGAATGTGAAGAGAATGTTTAAAAACTATTATTTATTTTTGACTCTTTTATTATAAAATAAATCAAGTATATTCAGCATAGAAAATATAGAAATTTAGAAAAAAGGGGAAAAATCACTTGTAATTCTGTCACCAAGAGATGAACATTGTAGATACTTAGGTGTATTTTCTCTCCATCATACATATTGTCGATATCCTGCTGTAAGCACAGATGGTATCATCTTTTTCCATATAATGGATTTTCCATATGATGCAGACACTTCATGAATGCACATTTTAGAGAATAATACACATCAGGGGTGCCTGGGTGGCTCAATTGGTTAAGTGTCTGCCTTCGCTCAGGTCATCATTTTGCGGTCTGGGAGTTCAAGCCCCACATAGGGCTCTGTGCTGATAGCCCAGAGCCTGGAGCCTGCTTTGTATTCTGTGTCTCCCTCTCTCTCTGTCCCTCCCCTGATCAAACCTGGTCTCTCAAAAATGAATAAATGTTAAAAAAGGGATATTTTTTTTAACACCAAAGTGATATTTTTAAACATTTAATGGATATTTGATGCTTTTTATAAGCTATTAAAAAGTTGATTTTATGGCTTTTCATTACAAAAATAATGATGTGAACATCTTGAAGAAAAATTTTCTTCTATTTTACATTATTTCTTGAGACTAGAGTTAAAGGTTATAATTAGTTATTAAAAATAGCATTTATTTTTGTGATTGCAAATGTATTGCATTTTCATTGTAGAAAATTTGGAAAATGAAGAAAATCTTGAATCAGGAAATAAACATCATTACAGTTGCCCTAATTAGAAATAACTACTGTTAAGATTTTGGTCTCATAGTCTGCCTATATCTTTATCTTTTAGTGCAATCATACTCCATATACAATTTTATAGTTATGCAAAGCTTAGTATTTTATGAATCCTTCCTCAGTTAAAGAAAGTCTTACCTCATAATTTCTAATGATTTTCAGCCTTCCACAGTATCCAGTAACCATAATTTAGTTAACCATTCCTGTCATGATGGACATTTAGGTTATTTCTGTTTATTCTGTCTTTAATACACTATGACTAATATCTTTGTAGATAAATTAAAAATTTTTTTTAATGTTTATTTATTATTGAGACAGAGAGAAACAGAGCATTGAGTGGGGGAGGGGCAGAGAAAGAGAAGATGACACAGAATCCAAAGCACGGTCCAGGCTCCACCAGGCTCTGAGCTGTCGGCACAGAGCCCGATGCGGGGCTCGAACCCACAAACTGTAAGATCATGACCTGAGCTGAAGTTGGACGCTTAACTGACTGAGCCACCCAGGTGCCCCGTAGATGAATTTTTTTATACACATCCCTGATTATTTCCTTATATAGCCATCTGAGAAATCTTTAATAATATTTTTGTGCATATTATTGAATTACCATCTGGAAAGTTTTTCTCACTGATACGTCTATCATTTGTATATCAGAGTTTCTGTGTCTCTACACTCAAATCACTGTGTGGTTGTTAAAAACAAATAACATTTAATCACTTGACAAGTGAAAAAACTATTTTTAATTTTCATTTCCTTAAAGTCTAGTGAGGATTTCATGTATTCATTGGTCATCTGTATAGCTTCTTTTGTTATTTATACCCTTTGTCATTTTTGTGGTTCCTGATATATTTTGCCTGTTCCTCATGAAAAAAGCTGGTTAATTTAAGCTCTAGTATATATTTTTCTTTTTTGTGAGTTGTCTCATGTCTCTTGGTCATTAAAGAGAATATATATTTTTTTCTTTTTTTAAATAGGGATATTCATTCATGTTCAAAGGTAGAATGAAGGGAGCTGAAAATGGTGGAGGGGGAAGAAATATAAAAGAATTTTAAGTTCTTGGGGCGCCTGGGTGGCTCAGTCGGCTAAGCGTCCTACTTTGGCTCAGGTCATGATCACACGGTTCGTGGGTTCGAGCCCCGCATCAGGCTCTGTGTTGACAACTAGCTCAGAGCCTGAAGCCTGTTTCAGATTCTGTGTCTCCCTCTCTCTCTGACCCTCCCCTGCTCATGCTGCCTCTCTCTCTCTCTCAGAAATAAATAAAACATTAAAAAAAAAGAATTTTAAGTTCTTGAAGAGGTGTGAGATGAAGTGGAAGAATATTAAACCTCGAAGTAGGATGCAACAGGAGACGGGGCATTTTGGCTTCAGGAAACATTATGTGATATCTATTTTATTCCTTTCCTGGGTCATTACTAAGCTCTGAGACATCACCCTTTAATTACAGTCTTTTAAAATAACCACAAATTACCTAAGATTATTTTTGTTTCTGCCAGTGTCTCCAGGGCTAGATGGAACATGAAGGGGGAAAAAAAAAAAGAACCAACAAAAGATATTGATCACAAGGTTATTTATTTGCTAATTTTGATACAATGCTGTCAGCAAACCACATGGGTAAACATTTCATAGACTTAGTGGATCATAGGTTTTAAGAGGTTCTTATGGAGTCAAGCATCTGTTAGATTTGTATACTCTCTCCTTGATAATTATTCTGATTGCGTATTTGAGCCAGAAACTCTGAAAATGCTATGTAAGGAGTGGGTTTTAATAGAAGTTTGCTGAATCAATGAATCTATGGCATAGATTTAGTTGCACTTGGACATTAACAAAGAGTCACGAATCTACTCTGAATGGGGGCTAGAAAAATTATTTTAAGTAATGGCGATGTCTGACATTATCTTGAAGGATAAAGTTTTAGGACAAACTTGAAATCTGTTAGGAAATATGAAGCAGAATAATCTGCATCTATGAATTAGTGATATTTTATGATTATAAGGTGGTATTGCAGAGTTTTGGGCTCACTATTGCCACATTATAAAAAGCCAGTGAATCCATTGAAGAAATCAGCATCTGTTAAAGGTATGAAAGGAATTTTTCTATTTTTAGTGACAGGTAAGTTGCAATAAATTGTATCATGAGAAAATCCATTTTGGTACTTGAAAGTAGCATCATTCGGTAGCATGTGTGGTGTGGTATTTCTTGGTGGCAGCTCCCGCTGCTGAAGACTTTCTTATTTGCGTTTGTAGAAACCTAGGAAGGGAATTTAAAGGATTGTTAATCTGCATCTGAATGTGTGCATGTGAACACGGATGGTGGTTGGGAGGGAAGAAGCCTGGGACATGTTGAGATTCATGAAGTTCCTTGGAACTTCACCTGCAATCATGATAATGATTTATTGCTTTTTGGTGCTTGCCTCCTTTTGCAGTGCTGGGTTCTCTCCCTGACGGTGGTCCTGCTTATCTTCTGAGGCCTAAGGGGCTGATGTTTGCTGTGCATCAGCAGGATCTGCACCAGGCAGATGTTCTCTGGTGGAACGTAATGCTTGGCAGTCACTGAAGAATACCGGATGATCTGGACTTGATGCTCTGGCTGACCGAGCTTGATTTTGCTGCCCTGCTTGGGTCATATGCATCTGCTGCAGTAGCTTTTCTTGCAGGTACTGGTACAGAGGACTAGCATAGACTGCACCCCGCTCCACAAAATGGGGCTCTTGGTCCATATGGATCTTCTCTTCAAGGCCTGACTGGGGGACCGAGGCATCATATCCTTTCTTGGCTGGATTTTGCTGGTCATTGGCTTCTCCTGCCAACTCTTGGGGGATTTCATCCTCCTCCAATGTTGCAGGTTCCTCTCTTTCAAGTTGTGTCATGGGGGAGGCTGGATTGTCCTGACCCAGACTTTTTACTCGAGCCTCCTGGGTCTCTGGTGCTCCGTCTTCCTCTCCTTCAGTACTTGGGCCCTGGACCTTTAGTGTTTTACTGCTGTCTTCCTTTGCAGGGAGCTGCCTTACAGAAAGCTGGTCAGGGAAGCCTACATCCAGGGTACCTGGGTGGTCTGTCTCCAGCAACTTTCTGTTTTCACCACTTGCTGTGGACTCCTGTGCTCCTGGATGTCCATCGGGATGCACAGCTGGACTTGGACCTTTGGTCCCTGAGTCCTGACTCCTGTGTTCTTCTCTGGAAGCCCATTCCAGTTCCTCAGTGAGCTGCTTATTCCCTCCTACTGCCGGCACCATGGCTTCCTGACTTCTTCTTTCCCCATCCAGTGCTACTTGTTTCCCAGTGTCTGGGTAATTATTGTGACTTCTTTCCACAGACTCTCTGAGAGGGTCCACTTGACTCTGGGCATCCTCTTGCACAGGCAAGTCAGTGGTCTCTGAGCTGTTGTCACCATCCTCTAGAGCCAGGCTATTGGGAGTTTTGGGAGAACTCTCATTATTCTGTGCGAGCGTGGCCTCGGGATCCTTTCCCTGGTAACCATCATCCTCCTTTGCTGGCTTGTCATGTGTCCTGGTGACCCTCTTATTTTCTTCTCCAGACTGGTTCTTGAGTGGTTCCAATTCTTGTATTTCTTTCGCTCCTGGTGTCCCTTCTGCTACAGTGACATTTTTGGTGCTCATGAGTGCTTCTGCTATGTCTTTCTCAGCATATGTTGCCTCATCTGGAGTGACTGCTCCTTCAGTTTCAGTACGATTCTTATTTCCTCCTTGCGAGCTTAACCCTTTCATCTTAGAACCTTCTTCCAACCTTTCTTTTGATGACTCTTGAAGTTCCTGATACTTTTCATCCTGTGGTTGTTCTTCCAGAGTTGGTAGCTGAATTTTTCTCTCATTTTGTTTCTCCCCTGCTGTTCCATGGGCCTCAGAGCCTCTCCTCTCTTTCCTTACAGCTCTAACCTCAGGTGTTTCTGAAATATTTCTGCTATCCCCTTGGACAGGCAGGTTCTTTGTTTCACGTTCTCTTTCTTGTGCTGGTGGTTCCTGGGTCTCAGATGTTCGGGGTTCAGCTGGATTCTTTGGCTCAGGTGGTGTCCCATCAGCATCCTCTCCTGGTTCTTGAGTCTCAGATGCTCTATCAGCATCCTCAGGCTCGGCTGCTTCCTCTGTCTGCAAGGGTTTCTGGGCAGCCACTTGTCCTGGCAGGCCAGCGTGCTCTGAGCTGGAGTCGTTTTTTCCTGTCAGCAACAGTTCTTGTGTTTCAGAATGTTCCTTAATGCCCTTTTCTGCTGCAACTTCCTGACCTTTGGAAGGCCTGGGTGTTTTTTCTGGTATATCACTTCGGGTTCTCAGGTTCCCTTTCTGTTCTTGATCTCTTGTCTTAGTGCCACTTTGCTCCCTGACTGGTTTATCTCCCTCCCTGGGACTATCCTCATCCTGTCCCTTCCCCTTTGTGGGACCGCCGAGCTGTTCTGATCCTGCTCTTGGCTTATCTCTCTCAAGTTGAGCCCCGCTGTCTCCTGGAGCTGGTACATCTTGGGCTGTTTCCTGGCTCTGTTGATCTTTCTCCAGGTGTTGGTTCTTAGAGTCGTTGTGCTCAGATGCTTCTACTAGCAGCTTGTAAGTCTTGGTGTTTCCCTGTGGGTCAACCCCATTGTGTCCCCTTTCCTTAGGGCTGAGCTGAGCTGATAATGCCATTCCTGAAGGAGGTACCACGCTGTCTTGAGTTGGTGGAGTGTGCTCTGTCCACTGGCCAGGACCACTGGTCACCTGAAGATCCATACCACTTGGCTTCTCCTCTGGTTTAGACACTTGTCTGGATTCTGATTTTAGTAACGATTGTACATCAAGGTAACAGAGGTTCAACAAGCTGAAGATTGCAAGAACAAATTCATCAAAACTGATGGTGCTATTGCTGTGGGTATCCAGAAGGTTCAAGTTTCTCTCCACAGCAAGAATGGCATGTGGCTGCATGAAAACACAATGAGGAATCAGCCTATTTATATGTGGTCAAGTGCCTGGAGTCTGAATATCTCCCAAGAATCCTTTTTTTAATTAAAAAAATTTTTTTGACTATTTATTCATCTTTGAGAGATAGAGCGTGAGTGGCAGAGGGGCAGAGAGAGAGGGAGACACAGAATCCGAAGCAGGCTCTAGGCTTTGAGCTGTCAGCACAGAACCTGATGTGGGGCTCGAATTCACTGACCCTGAGATCATGACCTGACCAGAAGTCAGACACTCAATTGAACCACCCAGGCACCCCTTCTTCTTCTTCTTCTTCTTCTTTTTAAAGCTTCTTCCTTAGGAACTAGTGACATTTCCCCAAACAGTAAGAATTTGTTAATTCTGGATCAGAGAGCTATGCTAAGAAAGAGGGTGGTTTTTTTTTTTAATGTTTATTCATTTTGGGGGGGAGGGGCAGAGAGAGAAGGATGCGGATCTGAAGCCTGCTCTGAGCTCGCAGCAGAGAACCAAATGTGGAGTTGAACTCATGGAACTGTGAGATCACAACTTGAGCTGAAGTCGGAAGTTTAACTGCCTGAGCCACTCAGGCGTCCCTAGGAAGGAGCTTTTACATCACTGTGAGTTGCATGTATACTGGCTCATGACTCCTCTCAGAACCTACTTTCCTGACGCATAGTCCCAGTGAGGAAAACCTCACTTTCCTCTCTAAGATCGATTAAGCAATTGCAGAGAATAGGGAGTTGAGACTGAAAAAAAGTTGTTCAAAATCAGTGAGTACAGAGAGCTGGTAGCCAAGTGCAAAGCAGGCAGGGGTCACTGAAGTTCAGCTTGCATTAGATTATGGAGAAAGGGTAACTGGGGGAGAATTTGCGCAGCTCCGTGAACTCCTCACCTGAAGAACATCCCCAAACTCGCCCTGGATGAGCCGTTTCAGCTCTGTACAGGTCAGCGTTGCCTCATCACCAGCCTCCCGGGCATACTTGTGGAATGTCTCAATTACACAGAGGACATCTCTCAGGAGCCGAGACATCTTTCCCAACTCAGGAGACTGTGAGAAAGAACAAACAAAGCTCATTTCCTAGGATCAGTCTTTCAGGAACGTGATGCCAAGGCCGTTCTTTTTCCTGCCCCTCCCTCTACTCCACTGGCATCATCTGCTCTTTTCTGGATCTTAAGATACAGCATCTGAATTTCGGTAATTTAATTTTTTACTGGATAGTGTAATGAAATCAGATCTGGCACAAGTATGTATTAGAAGCAACACTGCACCCCACGTTGCAGAAGACAGCAACACTCATGTGTTCAGAGAAAGCTTTTTTGCAGAAGAAGTGGAAAAAGAACGTAAATGTAAGTACTGAAATGCACAAATGAAGCCAACAGAGTGGGACCAATCCTTCTAGACTTTTCTGAGATCGTTTACTGTTTTCTTCCTACCTTGGCTCAGTCTAACTCCTCTGTTTAGGAAAGCATAATTTTATTTATTTATTTAATGTTTATTTTTGAGAGACCGAGCATGAGCAGGGGACCAACTGAGAGAGAGAGACAGAGGGAGACACAGAATTCGAAGCAGGCTCCAGGCTCTGAGCTGTCAGCACAGAGCCCAATGTGGAGCTCATAAACCCCAAGATCATGACCTGAGCCAAAGTTGGATGCTTAACCGACTGAGCCACCCAGCTTCCCTGGGAAAGCATGACTTTTAAAGTTAGTAAGACTTATAGAGAAAAGAGAAGTGATGCCAAGAAAAGCAACCCCTGTATATACGCAGGCTGAAGCAACATATTTTTACCAAGAAGACATGGCTCAGTGAACTCACTGGTAAAACAAATAGAATACTGACCCCTCAGCATTACCCATCATTTAAATGACTCTGTATTTTCATTTTAGTAGAGCTCTGAGTCCTATGTCTTATTAAAAAGTATTCATGCCTATGTCATACAGTTTATATTTTTTAAAAAAGACAACGATCAAAGAAGTTCCATAAGCAAAGAATCATGTTGGGGGCTGGAGCTCCCAGTTTAGTGGGATTAATAGTGGTCAAATTAGACTTGGGCTATCATCTCCTCTGGAATCCTTACACTATCTCACAGATAAGCAGAGCAGCAGCTGAGATCCAAGCTCAAGCATATGGTCTATGAGACTTACCTTGTTCATGAATGAGAGCAAGTAGAATAAAATGAGCAGCGGGCTATGAGCTGACAGCAGGCACTGAAACCTTTTATTGAGTCCCTAATTGCACAGTTAGGAAGGAGACACCCTCCGGGTCTAATGCCCTGATTTCATCACCACCAAACCCAGTCTTCCCTCCTTGTATACTGTCAGCTTCTCTTATTTTTATTTCCTTCTTTAAGCAGCTTCAGTTAAGTCTTGGCTTCAGACTCCTCCAAAGGAAGGAGAGAGGATTTTTTGTTTCATTTACCCACTTTTTCAGGTTATAGTTTTGAGGTATCTTCAGGGTGGTGCTGGTTTTTTTTTTTTTTTTAACCTAAGAACACAATTACATTTCTGTTTGACAAATCATAGGGCTGGCAGGGGCCTCAGAAGTCATCTGATCACTCCCTCTGCCCACAGGATGGACTGTATTTGACCCAGCCTGGACAGATGGGTGTCAATCATGTGTTTAAAAATAGAGGCCCTATTGAGCCATGTGACAAGAGTGGAGACACCAGTTGATTCAGGTATTTCGATGCTTTGCTCTCCTTGCCCAGAGGCAGAGTTAGAAAAAAAAAATCTTGCTGGGTGTGCAGAACTTTGCTTACCTAGGATGTGCTATTTTAAAAAAGTGATTGATATCTGCTCTTTAAAGGTGCTTTTATATCCAAGGAGCTTAGAAATGGGCATCTATATTCCTGTGTTCTTTCTGTAAAGGGGAAAGGGAAACCTAGAAACCACCAATCTGAGGACACGTGGGAAAGACCTGAGATGCTAAACTGGCAAATATTTTTATTACCTTCTAGATCTGGGTCCCTCTTCACAGAGAATATTTAACAGCAGAATTAGATTTAGTTGTTTTATTAGATATTTAAAAAGAGAACAGAATTTGTTTTAAAACATTCTTGCCTGTTTTTTTTTTTAATGTTTTATTTATTTTTGAGAGAGAGAGAGAGAGAGACAGGAGAGGGTCAGAGAGAGAGGGAGATACAGAATCTGAAACAGGCTCCAAGCTCTGAGCTGGCTGTCAGTACAGAGCCTGACCCGGGGCTCGAACCCATGAACCGTGAGATCATGACCTGAGCCGAAGTTGGACGCTTCACCAACTAAGCCACCCAGGCACCCCAATTCTTGCTTGTTTGTAAAAGGATGTAAGAAACAGACCAATGAGGGGCACCTGGGTGGCTCAGTCAGTTGAGTGTCTGACTCTTGATTTCAGCTCAGGTCATGACCTCATGGTTTATGGGTTCAAGCTCCACAAAGACTCTGCACTGTCAGTGCTTGGAATTCTTTCTCTCTCCCTCTCTCTCTGCCCCTTCTCCACTTGTGCTCTCTCTCTCTTTCAAAATAAAAATAAGAAAAAGAAACAGAGCAATGAAAACAGTATAAAAGGCAGAGACCAAGAGAATGGAGGGGTAGAGATGAGGGTAATTTTACAAGAAGACTGGCTAAGGGCAGCATCTATATTGAGCAAAACCTTGTTCTGGTCTTTCTGATAATCAAAGCAGGCACAAGGGAACTGAATATTAGGGGGGGTGGGGAATCCATGTTGATAGTTCTGGCCTGTAAAAAAAATTTTCTCAGAATTTTCCTAAAAGGTAGAAGCCTTGTCCTGAGAATTGAAGTTGGCATGTGAAGGTCATGAGTACCAGCTGTTTCTCAACCACCATGTGAGGTACTGGGGTGTTTAAAGTTGAGTAAGTTCTTAGAGTGTATTATGCTAAGTGAAATTAGTCAGAGAAAGACAAATATCAGGTGACTTCACTCGTGTGATGAAATTTAAGATACAAAACAGATGAAGATATGGGAAGAGAAGCAAAAGTAATATAAAACAGGGAAGTGGACAAAACATAAGAGACTCTTAAATACAGAGAACAAACTGAGGGTTGCTGGACAGGTTGTGGGTCGAGGGATGAGCTAAATGGATGAGGGGCATGAAGGAGGACACATGTTGGGATGACCACTGGGTGTTACATGTAGGGGATGAATCACTGGATTTTGCTCCTGAAATCGTTACTGCATTGTATGCTAAATAATTTGGATGTAAACTTAAAAAAAAAAAAAAAAACTAAAAAAGAAAAGAAAAGGTAGAAACGAGAATCCGGTTAGCTTCATTTAATTCAAACATTAAAGAAATTTGTAAAACTATAAAGCAATGCCATTCTTTCTAATATTTTTATTTTGAAAAATAGTTATTTTTCATTAAAAAAGAAATTGAAGCAAAAATGAAATAATAAATATAGAAAACATTATAGTTTAATAAAATATGTTCCCTTTATTTTGACTGATGAAAAATTGGGTATTCAGGTAAACCAAACAATCTGTATAGTGGGCAATTGCAAAAATTCTTTTATCATTCTAGAATGTCCACAGAGATAAAATATGAAAAATCACTGCTAGAAAAATAAAAAACATAAAGTTGAGTACCTTCTGTCTCCCTGCCGTGGAGGTCACAGGCCAGTCTCAAGAGAAATGGATGAAGGAAACGGCATATCTTCAAGGCTGGATTGGAAAGAAAGACTTAGAGTAGACCTAATGGTTGTTTTCAAATATTTGAAAGGTTTTCATAGGGATGAGGAATGAAGTGGTAAGAGAAAGGAACTTACATTCATTGAATACTTATGATATGTCAGGTACTCTACACTGCTGTCTCACTTAAATTCTCATACACCTTTTAGGTAGTTATTCTTCTTTTAGTCGATAAGGAAGTTAAGGCCCTGAGCTGTTAAGTAACTTGCCTCCGCCCAGGTGCCCAGTAAATAGCAAGCCCAGATTTAGAATGGAAATGCCTCAAGAATGTATCTCTGAGCTCATGGTATCTCCACTATCTTGAGTTCCTTATTCTGTGTAATGCCAGAGAATAGAGCTAGAATCAATGACATTTTCTAAAAAGAAGTCTTTAGTTTTATTAAGATCTCTATTAGGAGCAGTATTGTCTGACAATGATACACACTGCTCCTAAGGTAGTGAGATCCCTGTCACTGGCACTGTCAAATAGAGGCTGAATCACAGTCTCTAGGTTATGGGAGAGTCCTGCCACAGCAGAAGGAAAGACTAGAATGGCGTACAGTGAAGGGCACAGAACTCTTTCAACCCTAAATGTCTATCTATGTTTTTAGGTTATAGTTTCTTTCTTTTTTTTTTTTTACAAATAGTTTATTGTCAAATTAGTTTCCACATAACACTCAGTGCTCATCCCCACAAGTATTTAGGTTATAGTTTCTATTTAGAAGGTCAAGTTTGGATTTTGAACAATGTAAGGACTGGCTCCCTAGCCTTTTTATAGACATTCCTATTTTTTCAGCACTTTTTCAGACCATTTAATTAATATTCTTACTCCTGGGTGGGTAGTGACTCAAGGGACGGCAGAAGCAGGAGAAAGATGGGAGAACAGTAATAACAATTTTTTGTTTAAAAAAATTATTTAAACTGCTATACAATAGAGCACAAACAATTCTATTAGCAAAGAAAAGACCGAGGCTGCCCTTTCTTTTTCCAAAAAGATGTCTCTCATGGTCCCTCTATGATCTCCTCTCCCTTCTAATTTTGTATAGGGATAGTGAACAAAGGGAGAGAGAGAGACAGGAGTGAAAAGAAATTGATTAATAAAGAACTGTTTCAGAGCCTCTTACTTTTTGGGACACCTGGGTGGCTCAGTCGGTTGAGCCTCTGACTCTTGGTTTAGGCTCAAGTAGTGATCTTGTGGTTTGTGAGTTCAAGCCTAGCCTCTGGCTCTGCAATGACAGTGTGGAGCGTGCTTGGGATTCTCTCTCTCACTCCCCCGCTGCCCCTCCCCACCTCTCTCTCAAAATAAATAAAACAAACCCATTTGCTTTTATTTTAGTGTTTTTTATTTATTTTTGAGAGAGAGACAGACAGACA